TTCGAGCCTATACAGCTTGGAGTAAGACAACATGCATGAAGAGGATGATGTGGACAAAATACTCATTTGCCTAATAATTCTGCACTCCCTGTATTTTCACTTTAGACACAGATCGTTGCAAAAGCAGTTACTATCTAGTGCGTTGTTCACACTTTTATGAAGCGTAGCACATTTTTTTAAGATCTGGTTAGTGTTGTTTTCAGAGGTTTGGTTTCTTTTTATCAGTCAGTGGAAATGTTACATCTAAATTGTTAATTTTATGGCCAGCTAAAGAGAAAAAACAGCCTTGCACTGACTCTCTGTGTCAGTTGTGACTGCTGCTCAGTCCTTCTGGCTGGGACAGAGACTGCAGCGAGCATCTGGAGGAGAGACGTCGCTTCTTTATCCATCTCTGCTCTCCTGCTCCTTTGATCTCTCTCTCTCTCCTCTGCTTTTCTCTCTTCTCCTCAGGCTCTTTCTTATTGTGCTCCTTCGTTCACCTGGACCTCTGTTACTGTTACACTGCACCATCATAGCAGGAGCGTGTGTCTGTGTGTTTGTGTGCGTGTATCAGAGTCATGGATCAAGTTGCTGCACATTTATGGAGCCGGAGATCATTTAAAGCTGACATTCATAGATGTCCTCATTGTAATATAATTCTTAAAATCTTTCCAAAGGCAGAGGAAATGCAATCCTTCCCTTTGAAGCTGCCAACACAGGCAGTGTCTAAAAGTGTGGATTAAAACTGAGGTGTGAGTTTGCTTATGTGTTGGAAAAACACATAATAAGGGCAATATCTGAGAGGTTTACAAAAACTAGAATTGCATGCTAGCTGCTTTCTTTAATAGAATCACACAAACCATATTTTATATAATTACTGTTTTAAATGCATCCTTCGCTTTAATTTTATATTATTTATTGAACACCACGTAGAGACCACAGTTATAAGCTAAAGGAGGCAGTTGATTTGCTTAAATGTTTGGTAAAAGCAGATGGGAAATAAACAAAGTTGGCAAAAACCACAAAGAGTGTTCAAATCCACTACAGAGTACGTAAGAAAGTCACATGGGATGCGTCGTATTGTTCTGTTCTGTTTGAAATCTTGCGTCTACTCCTTTAATCGCCCTCTAGCGGTTTTGTCCTTGCCTGACTATGTTATATTTTTCAAACATTTTCTCTTTTAGGAGGCGGTAGGAAGGGTTTGTCTAAAGGAGAGAGGTCGGGACGTATTGGTGTTGCGGAGAGTGACATCATCAGTGACATCGCCATCGGACAGGCCCTCACCAACATCGTCCGGGGGCGGGTCCAGAGAGGAGGATTGCGACAAGAGGTTGGTCCCTCCTCCTGCATAATGAGGGCCCTCCACACTAACAATGGCAATGAAAACATAATCATAGTCCTCCTGTCTCTTTTGGGTTTTTAGTTTTTTTTCTTTGGGATATCGAGTTGCAGACACACACTTTTGCATATGCAAGCAGAATATCAGTAGGGCTGTCAAAATTGTGTGGGCGTGTGTGTGTTTGTCTAGGATAATGTATGCTTTGGCTTCTGGCAGAGTGCAGGAAGGAGAGAATGGCTTTTTGTTTTCAGCTGGAAGAGGAAAATAGATCACATAAGACTGGTTTACTTCCTTCCATATATCAGTGTGTTTTAGGATCTTATACTGTACGTATAATTACACATCTGTGTTCCTTTCCAAGTGCAGTTCTTCGAAGTTGATTTCTTTGACTTGAATACACATAGCACAGCATACCACAGTCTTTGACCTAAGGCACAATGCAGGGAGTGTCAGTGACAGGCAGGTTAAGTGGGTGTATGTGTATGTGTGTGTAAGCAGTTTTCAGTGTTTTCCGTAGACGTTGGTTCTCTGTCAGAGTTACTGTAGGAGCTGTCAGAGAGAGGGTTTCAATCTCTGGAGCTCTCGGCTGACAGGAGCAGGCAGCAGAGCAGTTTGCATCCAGAATGAGCGACCCTTACAGGGCTGAACTGGGAACAGTTTAGATATGAAGATGACCTCTGAGCTAGTCACGCTTGCAGAGGCAGAGGAGGATTTAGATGAAGATAGTGATGAAGACGATGACGATGAAGAGGACGATAGCAGTCATGATGATGATGGAAGCAAGTCAGAGATGTTTGCATTTAATGTTCCCCATTTTCGCTACATTGATGACGACGACGCGGAGGAGAATATGGACGAAGGCAGGGTGGCAGGGTGGAGGAACACAAGTGGTACTTGGTCCTCTTGCTATAGTGAGGAAGATTACTGCAACTCTTCATCTTACAGGTATGTGGTGGTGTCCGGAACGCCGCTTAAGATTTTGGAGCATCTGCTAAGTGACCTACGATTGGATGACCAAAGAGGGGCACCAGAGAACAAGGAGAGCGGTGAGTTTGGAGACATGTAAACACACAAACACACATTTGATTGTCCTTGAAGCTGTAGTCAGAGGCATGTGTTTGTGAAGAACCATCTACATCATGGCATAAATGTGTAGAGTTTAATTGTAAGTCTTAGTATCTTGTGTTAAATGAGGCCCCACACCTCTTGCCAAGGACTTTGTTTCCCAGCTGCGCAAGTTACAACACAACCCAGCCCCGATCTCTCTGTCTCTTTTAATTTCCCCGAAGTTGGGTCAGACCTGTGAGGTATGAGCATTTCCCTGCTGTGTTTGAGCCTGTGTGTGGCTGCATGAGTCAGCCCTCAAACCATATCCAGGCGTGCGTGTATGTGCATTCATTCAGCCATGTCAGTGGCCACAAATATGAGGAGCATTCAGGAGGTTAAATGCTCTAATGGGTTTGTGAAATGATTGCCACGGGGTGCTTTAGGCAGTTGTGCCGCAAACGATTTCAGTGTTAACTGTCATGTCACATTTACACAAACCTTAAGTCTAGCTTATTACATTATGGATTGTTTTATAGCGCAGTAATCTTTTACTCAGGAAATATTAGCAATCCTTGATGTAATTAGTTAATCTTTTATCATATTTGAATTTAGAAAGCACTAAAATCGTGGTGAAAAATTGGCATTCTTAAATATCAATGGGTCTTGACTTCTTTCCTTCTAATTACATTTCAGAGCCATCACAGATCCCAGGTCCACTATAATAATGCTTTAATCACAGAGGGAGGTCTGGGTCCCGGCATTCATTTTATAAAACCCTGCACTTGTCTGTTAGCATCTATTCTAGACAAGGCTCCTTTATGCATCAGCCCCCTCAGCACCACCAGTTCCCAACAGTCCACAGGGAGCCATCTCACTGAATTGCAGGAAGCAAACGAAGAAAGACGGAGAGATAAATGTGGGAGAGAGAGAAGGAGAGCAAGAGAGGACTGAGATGGTCTTTGTGGAGGAGCTCTGTCTGATATTTATTTAGTGAAAATGAGAAAACACTTCCTTTTTTTATGACAGCACAGGGAAAGGAGGAAGTGGGAATGCAAAATTTATCTTCATCTTCTCCCCATCTGTGTGTGTGTCTATGTCTACCTTTGCATTATGGTTGGTGTTTCCTGAATAAGCACATATGTGTATGTGTGTGTATGCGTGTGTGTGTGTGAGTGAATGCATCAGTATGCCGTGTTAGGTGGCTTAACGGTGCAGCATGTTGAACAGGCTCAAACACGCTTCCGCAGCTATTACCCCAAACACCCCTCACCGTGCACCGTGCACGCACAAAGAGAACACAGACGCAACAAAAACACAGCAGCAGATTAGTGCGATTAGTTCAGCACACACACAGTTTCTCTCTCTTCTTGTTTCCACCCCTTTCTCTCTCACAAGAGATAAAATGCCCAAGGTCAGAACTCAGTGAGTTATTCATCAGGGTGTTATGTGTGTGTCTGAGCGCATGTGTTTGACTTTGTGTGTGCCAGCGGGTAAACGCAGAGGGCATATGTTGAAGATGAAAATGGATATTTATCATCACAGAGAGCTGGGAGAGGGTGAATGTAGGAGGAGAGAAGTAGCAGGGGGAAATGTAATCGCTAAGAAGGAGAAAATGAAAAATGGGGGTGTGTGGAGTGGAGGAGGGGGTAGATGGGGATACTTTAGGATGGAGAGACAGAGGGTGGGAAACAGGAAAAGAACTGATAAATGGTCAAGAAAGGGCTCCACTTCCTCAGATTGAATAGGAAGTGTGAGGAAAGTGAATGAACGGGGTTCTGAAAAAGTGATAAGTACTGTCAGACCTGCTTAAAATATTTCTCAAGAGTTGTGTTTTTATTTTTAAAGCAAAGGCCGTTGATAAAATATTAATGCTTCAGCCTATGCTCGGTCTTCTATAATTGATTTCTTTGCTCTCTGCCTGACAGAGTCATATGTGGGTCACACATTTTCCCAGGGAAAGAGTTGACACCACACACACACACACACACACACACACACACACACACACACACACACACACACACACACACACACACACACACACACACACACAGAGCAACTTCTTCACAGCACCAACAATGGCTCATTACCCATCTGCCACGAGGGCTGTTTATATTTGGTTCTTACCCATTGATCACCTGCTGAGTCTCACACACACTCTTGGCTTCTGTCTTGCACATTAGCTCGCTCCACTCTGATAAATTTGAGTAGGTTTTTTTTTGTTTTTGAAGTTGTTTGGAAAATGAGCCAAGAGGAAGAAAAGCCTGACTTGCTCATTGTCATAGGTTTGTTTAAATTTGCCCCCGGGGACCCAAAAAACCTGGTGAGACATCAAAAATTCTCTTGACAAAGAAAAATAGCTCAATATTTAGTAAAAAGCAGCTTTGGGTAAAATTATAAAGAAAGTATAATCTGCTTCGTCAGGACTGTGTGGGAGTGATTGGTGACATAAGAAAGTAACTTTAAACTCCAGAATATTTAAATTAATGTCAATCCAAGTTTAATTATGCAGCAAATGGTTGTCTCAAGGCAGTTTATACTGTAAGATAAAGACACTGCAGCATTCTCGAGAAAACTCGAAGCAGTCAAACAGCTGACTATGATCGAGCACTTTGTGTAGGTGGGAAAGAAAAACTTCCTTTTAAGAGGAAGAAACCTCTGGCAGAACCAGGCTCAGGAAGGGGGAGATCTCCATGTAAAGGGAAAGAGAAGAGTGTGAATGTTTGGAGTTGTAGTTTGCTATGTATCCATCTGTATCATTATCATTATTATTATTATTATTATTAATAAATGTGTACTATTAAAAATGCTTTGCTGGGAACTGTGAAAATGGGTTATAATTATCTTTGGATTCCTCACTATAAAGACACTGTTCATGTAACATGTGATTATTGCTGCTTTAAGTCTAGTCGAAGGGCAAGTAAAAGAAGAAAATAGGGCATTGAGCTCAAGCTTGAAGATTTATCGTTCGACCTCTCTTTTGTATCTTAAAAAGCTGTAATTGATTTTTAAAGTGAAACTAACTTCTGCTGCTCATCTGGGGAAATCAGAAGTTAATTGAAAGATAGAAGAATATAAGATACTTTGTTTTGGCTTTCCACATCTTAATCCCACAGATAAGGAGAAAACATATCTTGGATCACTTTTCAAGTGAAGATTTTAGATTTTTAACAATGTTTTTTTCTGTTTTTCAGAAATGCTGCTGGATGATTTCCTGTTAACGTATCTGGTGTTCATGTCCACTCATGACCTCTGTCAGGCCCTGCTGGGACAATATCCTTACAAGGAAAACCATGCATTGATTCAAACACAGTCCTATTAACACACATATTTCAGACTCCATATTCCCCTTTGTTGTTCCTTGACCACAGTCACCTATAGCAGTGCACGCTGCAGGGGCCAGGAGGAGGGCAAAGATGCCCTCTTCAGGAAACGTAAAGTACTGCAGCTTGTTTCCCACTGGAGCAGACTCTATAAGGATTTCCTAAAGGAAGAGGAGCACGTCAGGAGCTTCATGAAGGTATGGCCTTCTTCACTATTTCTGATTATATAGTTTTAAAGACATGTTGAGTTTGATCCAGTGTTGTCTTCTCTTAAATGTATTGCTGAAGAACATCAAAAGGCTCATTCATCTTCATTTGTCTCCCTGTCTTCTAAATTAAGTTGTCCTTCCTTAAGTTCTGCATGACTGGACATCAAGTGCTTTTTAGAAAGGATAAGGAGCTTTGTGTATGTGTGTTTGTGCACATGTGTGCGCTTGCTGCATGTGATGACAACCTGATCGGCGTTTCTGCCTTCTCCCACAAGCAAATCCTTCATTACTAGATTCATCTCATCCTTCTGGCAAATAATAAAATGCAGGAGTTTCTGAATGTATCGTGAGATGTGTTTTGTATGACTTCACAGAAGAATCCAAAATAACAGTGACAATTATTATACAATTATGATGCTTTATTCCACATTATAATCTGGAAGCTTCTTCAATTTGTATCACGTATGGGCATGGTAGTGATTGAAAGCACACACAGAATCCTAAGTGTCACATAACCTCCCATAACTCACATTTTTCTTCACAAACGCTGCTTGCGTCTGTCTGCGTTCTTGTTATTTTCACATGGTTCGCTGCATCGACTCGGGATGTCTCTGACACCGAAGCGGAAACAAACAAACACACACAACACAATCAAACGTGTACACCCACACGCACACACATATACTCGCACATCACTTGTCCCTCCGTAACCTGACGGCTCCGTTGCTCGGTGCCGGGTTGCCATGGAAACCAAAGTGGTAGGGTTGGCATTGGTATAATCTCAAATGGAGTGTGTAACCCAGGTGATAGTTGCCTAGTAACAGAGGAACGAGAGGGGAATAGGGACCGGAGGCTACAGTGGGTCAATGACAACGATAAGGAGGCGTCTGGAGATGCGTGTGCGTTTGTGTGGATCCGTGCAAGTTCTGAGAGCTAATTCAGTCGCGTCACTTATTCTGTGACATGTCCAGGCATAGGTTTAAGTACTGCACTTGGTGATGGAGGAACTATCACACTGGAACTAAAGGAGTTAAACAGAATGTATGTGTTTAGGAATGTAGCAGTCTATTCCCAGCATTGGTGTCTGTGCTGCTCCACCTACACATTACACCTACAGTTCAACTATGGAAACCCATGCCATGAAGCTCCCGGTGCACAATTTTTTTGTTGATGTTAACACCAGAGGAGATTTAGAGCTCTGCAGTTACTGAGTCAGCAGAGCGTTGGCAATTTTTACACACTATGCGCTTCAGAACTCGGTGACCCCGTTCTGTAATTGAGTTGCTGTCGTTCCCAATCACCTCCAGTTTGTTATAATACCACTTAGAGCTGATTGTGGAGTATCTAGGAGAGAGGGAATTTCATGAGCTGACCTGTTATGACAGTGACATCCTATCACAGTACTCTGCTCAAATTCATTGAGCTCTTTAGAGCGAAACATTTTATTTAAACAAATATTTGTAAAGGCAGGTTGCCTGGTTAGGGTTTTGATTTTTATACACATGTGGCAATGAGACCTAAAACACCAGTATTCAAAGATTTTGGTGTGGCAACGTAGTCAAAGTAAAATTGATATTTATACAATTGATATTTTTAGCTCTGATGTGCATCCAGACAAATGTGTTATAAAGAGCTAAGTTATTTAGAAGAGGTGAAAAAAACACATGTAATGGATATTAATATCAGCAGATAATGCAGACTGAGGTATCAGACACAGAATGCGTTATAGATTTTCTTTATCTCTTTAGTATCTGGGTTTAAAAGTACAACATTAAGTAACAGATAAATGTAAAATGTTGAACTGATGCTTCCATATTTATTAGACAGCATGTATTTTGATAAAACAATTACAAATAAAGCAGTTTGGGGTTTGGCTAAATGAATCAAGACAATCTGATTAAGTTAACTTTGGTTATGGGGATTCTGTCACGGTTTGCCAGGGCAAACTGTAGGGATGTGGGGAAAGGAGGACCCAGAACGCAGGACTCTTCACTGCAAGCGGTGCGCTTATTTACAGTGCAAAAAAGCAATAAATCCCCGTGCTCTCCCTTTACTCCTGTGTCGTGTCTTCTTCCCGAAAAGTCCCAGTTTAGTGCTCTCTGCTCCTGTGTCTCTGCACTCCCCGTGCTCACTGCTGTCTCTCGTCCCACACTCCTCCTGAGGAAAACAATAGAGGCAGCCGTTAAAACACTTAATCCAAGCAGGAATACACTCACTGACTTTCCAACTAAACTACAAGACTGACGTGAAGTCTAACGCAATAATCCCACGCCGGTGGAAGCTCCATCGCTCTCCTAAATAACTCCCCCGACGAGCCCAGATCATCAGCAGGTGTGTGGCAAGGACTTCAGGTGTGGCCAGTCCTCAAGCAGGGCCACACCCACCAGGCCTGAAGTTCCGTGTAACACAGAAAACAGCTACATACAAATGTGGACAGAGAACAGTGGCAGTGTAGACGACACACACCAAATGATAATAATAATAATAATAATAATAATGACAACAACAATTATAATAATAATAATAGTTAATAATAATCCTCACTGCTCACAGATTCATAACTTTATTTTTTAATCTATTTTTTATAACACAAACATAAAGTAGTAACAGAAATAAATCAGTGGTCAAAAATATATATGGTTATATATCTATAAGATATTTTATCAGTGTGTTCTGACATACCGCTAAGTTCAGATAACTATGGCACATACACAGCTGTTTATTACACAGTCAGCACAGAGTGATGCTGGTTGTTATGTTGCATTGAGGTCAGTCTTTGTATACATGTGTTTATAAAATGTTCCTCACACTAAAAGCTGTGATTGGCTCTTATGCCTGCTGTGCAATAGAGTGAGGACACATTCTTTTTTTTCTGGCTCAGACAACCTTTACCATTAGTCAAGAAGTATTTAGCATGAATCATGTGATCATGGATTTTAATAACATTTCCTTTCTCTGTCTGTCAGACTCTGTACAGGTGTGTTTTAGAAGATCTGTACGAGTTCCCCACATTGGAGAAAGACCTGAAGGAGTTTCAGAAACTTCTGCGTCGCAGGCAGTAAGAGACATTAAAGAAGCATGTGATGATGTGTAAACTCATCTGTCTGCCTTATTTTGACTACCCGTAACCTCCTTCACTCCTTCACTAGTTTCTTTGTTTCTTGTAGCACGGTGGATGACTGCCCTCCAAACCAAAAGGTATAACACACAAATGGATATGAGAGAGAATCTGTCACATATGTCACATTGGCCACTGTACTTACTGACTTATCCACAACAAGCTAAAACAGATGGAGGATCTGTATTTTTGCATTGTTAAATAACACAGAAACAAAATTTTTAGATTTTCTTTAAGCAGTGTAGGTGCTGATGGAGATAATATAGGTGCTATCAGTGCCTAATAACATCCAGCACAGACTAGATAAAGCATTTCAAATCTCCATTTGTCCGCCGCTCTTCTCGCAGAGCAAACAAACGTATCAGCATATGAGTCTGAAGGAAAACTGTTTGCAGCTCCGCAGTCCACAGACCGATACCAGAGAGGGTGAGTAACAGACACAGACATACACAATCACTGCCCCAAACTCTACACAGTTATGCATAATTACAGTTGTGGAGTGTAATTTTAGTTTGCACATGCAAATTGCTTAAATTGTGTTTTCAACTATATTTTTGGCAAAAACGAACTGAAGTTTTCTTTCTCCAGCATTTCAGCATTCATTTATTTTAGACATTTACTCTCGCCATGTTTGCGTGTTTTTCAGTTATTTGCTGCGTGTACGTGAGTGCCGACTCCTACCTGAGTGTCCACACGCATCCCTCGCTGGAGGCCCGTGAGCTTCTGCGGATTGTGGCTCTGAAGATGGACAGAGCAGAGGAGGACATGGTGCTCGCCGTGGTGTCGCACACTGGAGGTAAATGCGATTCAAGCACAATTCAAGTAGAACATATAGTCAAGATAGTTTTCTAATATAAGCAATATGAGGGATTTACTCCTGCTGCCTGACCTGCTCCTCAAAAATAGCTGTACAAGTCCTCCTAGCTGGGAATCACTGATCCATTTTCTTGGCTCTCGTTCATCTCTCTCCTTCTGTCTGTGTTTGTCTCTGAAGAGCGGAGGGTGTTACAGCCCAGTGACTGTGTGTACTCTGAGTCTCTGACCCCACAAGGAAAGCTTGTGGCCTGTCGCAGGGATCTTACTGAGATCTTGGTATGTAAATGGCTGCATTTTTTTGTCTTTCTGTAACATTCAGTCTTTAAAAGAAGCTGAAGTTGCAGCTTGCAGGTCCAAAGCAAAACACAGCAAACAAAGTTAGTTATTTAGCCTCTGTATCAATTTCTTGGCAAATCAGGCATGAAAATGAGTATTTCACTTCCCCAGCAGACATATTTTCAGTGTTGCAATGAGTCATGCAGCAGCAAACTGGAGAGGCTCAGGCCTGGTGATTGTTATTAACTCTGACTCAGTAGGAGAGGAAAACGTGTGAGCCACAATTATTGTGTGGTTGCCCGACAGTGACAGCTGGACTGGAAAGTGCCGTTTCAGGGCACCTTTGTAAAGGGGCATCATCATCACAGAGTGAGATCTATGTCTGAATGTCTTAGCGGCTAGAGCCTGACTGATTTGTTGGTGGGGCGATATTAGCTATCTGCAGCACTATCGTTCTCGGCGTTTATAACAGCTGATAAATGAAAAGGTCCCAGAACAGATGTGGCCATAATGCCACATACACACTGATGCAGATGCAAATTGACTAATGCTCCTGATAGGATTTTATTTGAGCATGCCTTGTCTTTTTGTGCAATAATTTAAATTTCTCTACGGGTTTGTATGTGCAGCCTCCTTTAACAGACAGTGCTGAGCTAAGCAGGAGGCCAGTTCGACTCCTGGGCATCAACACCTGGGATGTGGCAGCTGCCCTCACACACCTGGATTGGAGTCTCTTCAAATCCATTCACGAGGTATCCACTCATACAGATGAATGTATGTGGTGTATGCACAGAGTTTTAAATAAATTCATATTGACGATAGATGCTGCTGAAGTTTACGCATCAGAGTATAAGCAAATGCTCAGCGAGACTTCCTGGATGATGAGCACAGCTCAGCCAGCAGCTGAGTGGCTTTTTAGATGTGTTGTTCTTGTGAAAACTTTAAACATAGCACAGATGAAGAGACACAGGCTCCATCTTGGCGTGCTTTCCCATTTGGTACTAGAGTACATTTGAGCACTTTCTTTTTCTTTCCTGGTTTTATATCGTATACGTGAATTGTTTTTGTTTCAGTTTTTGATTTTAAATTCAAAAAAATTAAGCAATAGCAAGATTAGAGTGAAACAAGCAATGGCGAGGTAGCCTCGTTTATAGAGGGAGAACACACCCAAGGATGTGTGATTCTTGATGTTTTTCACTCACACTCTTTCTTTCCGTCAACATGCAGCAGGAGCTGGTGTACTACACTCTCAGCCGCGCTCCTGGCACTGGCCACACGGCGGCGCTCTCAGTCCTGCTGCAGCGCTGTAACGAGGTCCAGCAGTGGGTCATGTCCGAGGTGCTCATGTGTGTGTCGCTCAACAAGCGAGTACAGCTTCTCAAGAAGTTTATCAAGATTGCAGCTCAGTAAGAACAGAACACACACGTGGTCATGTAAACAAAATGAAGAGTATGTTTTAAGCACATCATGTTTTATCTCCTTTTTTTAATAACATTTTTCTGCTTCTGCCTGTGTTGCGCACAGCTGTAAAGCCCAGAGAAATCTGAACTCTGCATTTGCCATCATCATGGGTCTTAACACAGCTGCTGTCAGTCGACTCAACCAAACGTGGGAGGTAAGGCTTAACAGAACTGAGTCTGTTCAATACGATGCCTATTTTCAAGTCCAGCTCTGAGCAAACGCTTTCCCTTTCAGAAATGTCCGGGGAAGTTCAAGAAGCTCTTCTCAGAGCTGGAACTCATCACGGTGAGACCTGGTGGACAGAGATAGAGAAACACGCAGAGATGAAAATGTGCTATTCCTTTAAATGCTTCCTCCTTTTCTTTACTCTGCTTTCTGTTTTCCTCCATCTCTTTTTCCAGGATCCATCTCTAAACCACAAAGCCTACAGAGAAGCCTTCAAGAGGATGAAACCTCCTAAGATCCCTTTCATGCCTCTTCTCTTAAAAGGTATCTACTCTAAATCCTACACACACGTGCGCACACACACACAGAAACACTGAATGAATCCCTAATAAGCCCGTCTCCTGCTTTTAGATATCACTTTTATCCACGAGGGAAATAAGACCTTCCATGACAACTTGGTCAACTTTGAGAAGTTGGTGAGTTTGAGTCATTTCTTTAATGTCTTTCAGTGCCTCAAACCATTTCCATGTGACATTTAAGTATTTTTTCCTTTCAGCTTCTCTAGATTTATTCTGCAGACTTAAGCTTTGCAGTGTAGGTGATAACAAGGTCACGATACTTGGATATTTGTATTGTGACAATGAAAGAGTGCAACAGTGAGATTTTGGAAGTAAAAATCACATTTATATTTTTCATGGGGGTTTTGATTATGAGCTATAATGTTGTAATCATCCAAAGCAGACTTACTAAGAGCTTTTTCTGAAATGTCAGTGGAGAAAACAAATGGGAAATTCATGTTTGTGCTCAGGGTCCTTAAAAAAGCAGGGACTGTTGTGCTCTGTAGTTTTTGTTTTGTCAGTATTCTGCAATATATTATAACAATACCAAGTTGCATCTGTGGTGAATACATCATACATCTGATGAAGGCACCATCTACTATTTGTTGTCAAGTTGACTGATGAAAGTAGATGCTTTGTATTTCCAGAGTACATGCTGAGTGGTGAATCCACCATCACCAATAGTAAAACGCTGGCCTGTTGAAATGTGTTTGGTTTGTTAAAAGATGGATGGTTAGGACAAAAGAAAAGCTCTTGATGTTTACAGTCCACCAGAACAAATGTGATCTTTCCAGTTTAATGTCACCCTAATGCAACATGCGTTCTCTTAAACCAACAGCATATGATTGCAGACACGGTGAGAATGATTCGCCACTGCCAAAGTGACCAGTCAGGTGGGTTATGTTTTTTTTTTACTGAACTGAATCTTTAGGTTCAAAGTCGCGCTTCTGATCACTCTATAGTGTAGTTAGGAAGGACATCCAATGTAAAACATATCAAACATGCAGGTTGCTGAAGTTTAGGTACTTATTAAGTATATGGTATATATTTTTCACAGTGTAAACAAATCATATACTTCCAGTAGTTTATAATCCATAAAGGAGCTGTCACATATATGTATGTACTACACATTAGAAGTTTGTGTCTATCTATAGTGCCATGACATCAAAAAGTAAATATAAATATTAAAAGATAGTTGTTTTTTCTGCTGGAAGCTGTTGTTTATGCTGTTTTCAAATCCTTGAGAAGAATCTGTCGCCATCTGCAGCTCAGTTAGTGTACTGCATTTTTACCTGAGTCAGTTTCTTCCAGTTTCCAAGCAACCATTTCCAGACAGTCTTTTATTTCTTTCCAAGGCTGTAATACAGTCTGTTTGTAGTAACTGTGTGTGTATGTTGTGTTGAATCCACTGATGTGTGTGCGTTTGTCTTTTAGGCAACGAGGTAATTGGGGTCGACAGTGCGGAGGTGAGGGCGAGCGTTCACTACCTGCACATTATCGACAATCAGCAGACGCTCTTTGAACTTTCACACAAACTGGAGCCCCGCGCTTAAACAGAGACGCACACACACACACACACACACACACACACACACACACACACACACACACACACACACACACACACACACACACACAC